GCCAACTTCAGCGTCGACCTCTTATCAGGTGGAGGTGATGCTGCCGCCGCTCTCGACAGCCTGTGCGCCGTATCCCAGTTCAGCTTAAACTTCATCTGCACCGCATCCATCCTGAGCATCCTCCTCATAGGCATCGATCAGTACGTCGCGGTGCTGCATCCTTTGCGCAGTCACTCGTACATCAACAAGTCCAAGTCTCTGGTGCTCATCATCATCTCGTGGTTGATATCGGGAAGTTTTGCTTCCGTGACGGCCGCACTCGGCACTAACGGAAGCTTCTTCACCAACATCTGCGCTTCGACCGCACAAACGACGGCCAACAGGATCTTCGCGGTGGCCTACTTCCTGCTGGTCATCCTGCTGCCGTTCCTCACCATTTGTCTCATCTACGTGCTCATCTACAATGCCGCACACAAGAACAGCTCTCGCATCCGCAAGTCGACGAACAATACGCAGCAGGAGCCGTCAACACCATCTGTAACAACAACAACAACAGCATCAGCAACAGCATCAGGTGGAGGTGTTTGCGGCTTCCCGAAGGTGCACAGCGCTCCCAATCTGAACAAAGTCAACGAGATGCGCGAACTGAAAGCGACGAAATCGGTGACGATGACTCGAACGCACAGCGAACGTCCGCCGCGTCGCCTCATCTCCTCGCTGAAGACGCGCATCTCTAATGCCTCGGTGTTCAGGTACCGTGAAGAAAATCGCACCGCTAAGATTAGCATACTAGTCATCTTCATGGTACTCGTCTGCTACGTACCGTACGGCATCCTCTACATCGCCAACACCGCTTCCACGCAGCTCCGAGTCTTCAATCAGATCTCGCTCGTCCTCCTCATCAGCTCCAATCTCCTCTCGCCCATTCTCTTCGCCTATCGCAATCGGCGCGTGCAGCGCGAACTCAAAAAGTACCTGAAGGGATTCACGCGCGACTCGATGGGCACGAATCACGGCGGCAGCGGCGGTGGCTGTGGCAATGCCAAACCTCAGATCGTCGTCAACCACATCACCAATCGATCCGAGGTGGACGTGGAGGACGACGACGACGAGGACGGCGTCGACGTCATCCAGCCGTTCCTGCAATCGTCGTCCGCAGCGGACGCCGCTTCCTCGCACCACCAGCAGCAGACTTCATCTCTGTCCGCTCCCCGTTGCACCGTAGAACTCGAGAAGAAGAGCATCCTGAAGAGGGTTTGCAGCAAGAATTGGAGCAGCTACAAAAAGTGCAGCTTCATCGCAGTCCCGGACAGTTGTTTGGACGCGCGCGGATCCTTCTCCAGCGCAAGCACACAAATCTCCACAGAAGACTAGCAGTGATCTGATCGCACATCGTCAGAGCAAATCCTGCAACAACAACAAAAGACTTCCTTGTAAATACGTACATATAAAAAAAAACACATACATATATATATTTACATACACATACACACATATATATATATATATATAAATACGAATAGTTTAAACTTAATGTAATGTAAATTATTAATCCCCAAACCAAAACAAGAAAAACCCTTAGCATAAAAGCATAGATGATAGATGAAGAAAAAGTACATAAATATATATTATAGATTTTGTTTTCGATTGTGATATATTTTCGCCATTTATAACGTTTGTATTATGACATATGCATGATGATGATGATAATGGATTATATTTAATCTAATTTAACTTTGAATTTTTTTTTCTGTTTGTTTCTTTTTTCATCTCCGAAGAATGTATTCGTTCACCTAATAAATTATTTTTTTTATATTAATTTCTACAAAAGTCTAATTATTTCTCCTTCACCCATCATAACCAAATGAATGTTCACACTTCCGTTTACTGTCCAACTTCGAATTAGATTTTGTCATACAGTACAAAGATTACGACATCTCGCGATGCAACAGCGAGGTAACATTTGCATCTTCTCTGCAATATCTGTGTCGAAACAATGCAATATTATTATATCGATTTTGGTTCGTCAGATTGGAATAGAATATGTGAAATGGTGATCGTGTCGAAATGCCCGCTGCTGCTGCTGCCTGTTGTTGTTGCTGTTTATTTAAATTAAAATAGATTGCGTCGGATGTGATGTGTGTTAATTTCCGGTATTCGATTATTCAAATTGAATATATATATATAGATATAGATATGCACGCGCAACGTCGGCCGTCAATTGTTTCCACGATTCAATTCAGCACGCTCACGTCGTTATCGAATCAATCCATTGCACAACAAACAAACAATGAATGAATGAAAGAGAGAAAGAAAAAACCGAGATTCCAATACTACAATTTTATCGCGTTTATTTTTAGCTTCCACAATTACGTTTACGTTCGTTTACCTTTTCGCTAATTGCGTAACGTTTGCAATTGATGAAAATGACAATAAAATCAACTTGATTCGATCTACAATTAAATGAATTTCAATTGCTACACATGTTCAACTTGGATTTGGATTTCATATTAGAATTTGCAGTGCAAATTGAATTTAATGTTGGCATCATGTTCGAATCCTATAAATTTGAAGTATGCAACCAACCGTACATTGATTGGTTGGTAACGTATGTTTATAATAATCTATTAAAAACGTGATACTGCTAAAAGTCAAGTGCATCTCTCATCAACCATGGGTGACTCTGCTCCACCGTTTTCGAACGAAGATGTGCAGAAGCTCTGCGAAAAACCGGATAACAGCACAAAGGTTGTTACTATTATTTTACTAATATTATTAACCTATATGTAGCAATTGTAAAATTTGAATTTCGTTTCCAACAGGAGTTCATATTCCAACAAACGATGTACCGCATCAAGGATCCACGCAAAACCGTTCCATTCTATACCGGCGTTCTGGGTATGCAACTACTGCAGAAAGTCGATTTCCCCGAGATGAAATTCTCTCTGTATTTCGTCGGTTACGAGAACGACGCTGATATGGAAGGCGAATTGGGTTCGAAGGAACGCACGCAATGGACGCTCGGCCGAAAAGCCACACTGGAATTGACGCAGTAAGATAATTGGGTTGCCTATATACGAAATGGATAATGATTGATCTTTTGCAGCAATTGGGGTAGCGAGGACGACGACAACTGCAAGTATCACGTGGGCAATTCGGAGCCGAGGGGATTCGGACACATCGGTGTGATGGTGCCGGACGTGGAGAAGGCGTGCGAGAGGTTCGAAAAGTTGGGCGTGAATTTCATTAAGAAACCGCAGGATGGAAAGATGAAGACGATCGCGTTCATCACCGATCCGGATGGATATTGGATCGAGATCTTCAACAACGCCACCGTTTGATTTAACGTTCAGATAAAGTTTATTATTATAACATCATTTGCTATCAATTTCTCCTTCCTTCCTTTCGTTTTTTTTTTTGATTTGGTTCGTACACCAACTACAGACAAAATTGATATCCATCCATCAAAGAAGTAACAATCAAATATACTATACAATATACATATATATCTATCTATGTATGTATATATCGAATAAATATGTTAGTAATTAATTAAGAGTTTAAAATTGGAAGCGATCTAAACCGACAGACAAACAAATGCTTCTTCTTCTTCTTCTTAGTATGGAATCTGGTTTTGGTAATACTGAATCATGTCGTAGGTGCGCGTCCGGAAGTTGAGGAAACTGTTGCGAATGATGGAGAGCATGTAGATGGCGGCCTCCTTCTCCGAAACGTTGGCCTGAAAACGCGCCCTCAACTGTTTGATGGTCTGCCCGCGGAAACATGGTAGGCCGGTATCGAGCATCAAGGAGACCAATGAGACGATAGCCTCCCGATGGGGACGAACCGCCAGATATGCTTGAACGCACAGTTCGCAGAACCAACGGAAGGCGGGCGCCTCGATCTTTCCGCCCATTATCATGACCATCTCGTCGGTCAATTTGATGTCCGGCTCGAAGCCGAGGTTGCCGCCCGGCGACGACTCGAACATGAACCCGAAATCTATGTGTACAATATGACCTTCGGTGTCCAGCATGATGTTACCGTTGTGCCGATCCTTGATCTGCAGCAGGAATCCGACAACGCTGTACGCTGCCATCGAGATGACGAAATTCCGACGCGCCCTCTGGAAATCCTGCGATCCCTCGTCTCCGTACTTCTTCAGGAAGTACTCGTACATCCCGATATCCGTCTGCCTGCCCAGCTGATCGCGCGACTTGGCATTTGGCACGCATTCAATGACTCCGCACTAAACGAAAACAAATTTAGGAAGAAACAATCAGAGGAAACGAGACGAAAGCAAAACTTACGCCAGGAGCTGTAGCTACGACTCTGTAGGGGAACAAGTACAAATCTAAACCGACAGTTTGGAAAACGTTCTTGAAGATACCGATGACCTGAAGCGCCAACATATCTTGTCGCACGTCATCTCCAACTTTGAAGATCGCAGCCTGCCACATCTCCGGTCCCAACGATAATTTCTCATCCTACAATCAGAATACAATCAAGTTATGACTATGAATGTATATAATAATAATAATAATTCTCACCGGATTGGTCGAGTAGGCCATCGCTGATGTCTCTAGTTCGTTTATGCCGCACCTGGACACTTTAAATCTGGCGAGGTAAGGCGCTTTGGCCGCACTCTGCATTGGAGTTCCGCTCTTGAAATCGATGTCGACGACCATCGCCTCCGGATTACTGGGCAAATAGCATCCCGGCTGCACCTTGATCTTACTGAGCGCCTCCAGACATGCCCTCTTCCTTTCAACCCCTTTCGGATACGGTCGGATTTCACCGCTGATGTTCGTAATTTTATCGAAGAAATCGAACTCGCGCTCGTAAAACTGCTTCGCCGGCCCGGAAAGCGCAGCGATTATACTACCAATTAGAGATTCCAGAACATCGAAGAGTGCTACAGAAACAAATCACATATATATATAACAAACAAACGAAAAAAACAATGGAAATAATAATTACAATCTTTGATCTGCATATCCTCGTCCATGTACAAATTGGTTTTCATGTTCCAAATGAGTTGATGGGCGACGATCTGCGATTTTTGCGCCACGTATTTAATGTACTCGGTCACGTAACCCATTGTGTCGTGTCGGACTGCTTGAACGAGCTGGGGAATGTAGAAGAGGACGGCGTCCGCTGGGTAAGAGGTCAACGCATGCACTGCGTATTGCGCGGAAATGGGATGCGGCGGGAATTGACGACTGAAGAACGACAAAGCCTAATAAAGAAGAAACACATAAGACGAGCTCATCATTATTAAGTAAATGTACCTGTATGGGAGTGACTCTGGCCCACGTGAGCATGTGCACCAGTTTGGGGCTATCGCTGAGGATGGTATCAGTAGTTGCCAAGTATTGCAATGCCTCTGGGACGTGTCGCACCGCGTCCGGATTCTGATGGACCTGGTGCCTGATCTCGCTGATGATGGCATCGTTGCACTTGAGCCTCTCCGGCAAGTAGACGGCCAACACCGGAGAAATATCCCATGCCAATCGAGTGTAATCGCGCCACTGCTTATCGGTGATGGCTTTGTCCCTCCATGCAGCAACGTTACTCTCACCGGGTAAAGAATACTCGGCCCTTGAACTGGGATTATGCCAGACGATCAAAAACTCAATCTCGACAGCCTAAATATAATAATAATAAAGAAAACAAATCCAAAGTCAGAATGAAAAACTTACCAACAACTCAAGAATCAAATTACGTTTCTTGATGTAACACTTGACGAAGTTGTCGGCCATAGGGGCGCGCTTCGACTTGCTCGAGCGTTTGCTGAGGGTGGCCGTGCTGGTAGAAAGCGGCACCGTGTTGATCCATCCAGCAGCCGGTTTGCTCATCTCGCTACTCTTTGCTAACTCCACGTTCTGGATGGCGGACAGCGTCGACGAGGTGCCTAGATCTAAATCTAATTCGTTTCACCATCGGCCACAACAACAAAAACCCAACCAACCACAAAAGAGAGAAATAGGAAGAAACAAGACACAAAACCGCGTGTGGAAGAAGAACATAGATTGAATAGACGAGCAAATAAAGAGAAAAGAAAAATAATGATAATTTAGATTGCACGTGCAAAGTAAAAAAAAATTAAAAATAATAATCAATTACAAACTTACCGCCAACATCGGAAGCTTTCAAGTACTTCTTGTCCGAGTGCATTGTCTGCCAGAAACGCACCAAAGTGCTGATGTCTTCGCGCAACAGAGAAAGATCTTGCGTGGGGCAACGCACCGGGCGGCAGAAATAGTCTAAGCAGCTGCAGTAGATCCTCTCGCGCAGAACGTTTTTAGCAAGAGATTTTTGCAAGATGTCGCCCTGCAGTAGCGATAATCCGCATTGCAGCAATCTTAAATAATCCTTATTAATACAACATCCAATAATTTTAGTGAAAACTCACTTGAAACGTACTCCAACGGAGGAAACGTCCCTTGTTTGGCAGGGAACAGCTGCGCCGACGCTCATCGCCAGAGAGCGATGGATGAGCGAAGCCAGCAATTCCACCTTCTCGTAGCTGCTATATTTCGCCGTTTCCACCATCTCGCAGATGAACTGCACCCAAATGGCGTGCGGTTTAACGAAAGGAGGATCCGGTTCCAATTTGGCGCCTAACAAAAATACAATACCTTAAACAAATACATTATTTTTAGTTTACATCACAATACCTTCATAATAAGCCAAAGGGCTAATTTCCTCCTTCGTCAGAGAGAACAACCCCATCCGTTTCTGCACGGTGTACGACCAGGCGGAGAGCATCTCCTGCAGAAAACGCAGTTCGACGTCTTGACGAGCCGTAATCAACCATTGCCAACACGCGACCGCCGTGATCATCGCCTCGACGGTGAAGAGCTCCACCTGCGAACTGGCTATGCAATGCAATATCTTCCTGTTAAGCTTCGGAGTCGAAATGAGCATAGCGGTCGCGCGCCAAAGCGCCTCCCGATGCGCCGCGTCCGATCTACTCTTGCAAGCGCTCCACACGTTTTCCAGCAGTTGTTCCGTCAACTCTTCGCGTTTCTCTTCTCCGCAGAAAGCCAGCAATCCAGTCAACTGCTCAGAAAAATCATTATCAGAACGAGTTAAAGAACGTGCACGATTCGAAATGAATTACCTCTCCGCTGTATTTTGACCTCAACGTCAACAAAGTGATGAACTTGGAGGTGTCGTTCTTAACGCACTTGGGTCTCTTATCTAGCATCCCGCCCGTCAAAGTCACGCTGTTGAAGTTGTTTGGTCCGTACTGATGTACGCACTCCATGGCCAGAGAAAGTCCTGCATGATTCTTCCCCGAAGATTGCGTTAAATTGATGTATTCCTGCAGATGCGATCTAGTCCAATGCGGCTCCCACTTCATCGCCTCCTTCAGAATACGTTCAGCGTTCGCGGCGAAATCTTTCACAATGCTCTAACAACAATTAATGCAATCAAATTCTTTAAATAATCATTAAGTAAAAAAAAGCTCACCTCTCGAGCATCCAGAGTGTCCATCAATTGTATGGAATAGTGCGTGTTCTTGATGCGCAACATCGGATTCTCCTGGTTCGGGTCTAAATGTAGAGAAAACGCAAGCACCTGAAGAATATCCAGCATAGTCCATAAAACCCTAACGAAAAGATTAAATTGCGATTAATATTCATTTTTACAAAAACATATATAGAGATTACCTTTTGTTCCATAATAAATGGGGAAACGTGTCGATGAGCATGGACAAGAATTTATCGGCGACGCGTCTGATCTGTTTTTGCGGATTGTTGAAATTCACCAGCAAGAATTGCGCGTGCTCCTCCAAATCGGTTTCTCTCGCCCTATCCTTTGGCTTATTGCGCATCACTTCCAAGAACTTGTCGAAGACCTTTTCGCAGACGCTGAACACGCAGTTCCACATGCCAGCCTTATCCTTCTGCAGCGCCGAATCGCTCAAGTACTCGACGATGATGATCTGCAGGTTCGGCTCCACCGAGTTCGAGATGCGCAGCGTCTCCACCCAGTACACGCTCAAGAGAAAGGAGCACTCTGCGAACGAGAATTTGTTCACGTACGTGGTGACATCCGTCGATCCCTTGAGCAATTCCAAAATCTGCAATCGCAACTCGTGCACTTCGGTTATCGAGACGCTGTCGTTACGGACGGCGCTCGTGTACTGCAGCTCGCGCATCTCCGATCTGCTTGATGTGTGCGAGACTAAAGCGGGCGTTTTCACCGCAATCTCCCGCACACTTTCGTACCACTCTTTCGGCCACAATCCCGAATCGGAAGCGGTGAATCCCATGATCACGCAGTACAACCAAAAGTCCCTGAAGAGTTTATGCAAACGCGGTTTCGGATTTCTTATAGGAGGTAAACGCCGCAGCAGCACGGCAATTACTGGTATTAAAACACCTAGATTACCTGCAGAGCTTGAAGCTTTCGTAGCGCCCGGCGATTTCTCGCTGGCTCTTTTACCTTCGAGTCCCAGCTGCACGAAGAGTTCCAGAAGAGTCACCAGTAGTCCGTTCAATGATTCGGCTTGGATGTTTGCCGCGATGTTAGCCAGAGCGTTGATCACAGCCCTCGAAACGTTTATGTACTGAGTCTTATCATCAGTTAGATTACAGTACGTCGTGTTGCTGCTCTCCACCGTGATCATCGTGAACATCTTCATGACGGTTTCGTAAACGTGCGGCTCGCACTGCGCTATAATCATGCAACCCAACTGATCGACAATCAACGTGTTCAGCGATGAATCTGCTACGCGACAAAAGCGCTGCTGAAAGAATTGCAGAATAGTGTCGGTAGTCTTCGGTACACCTTTCATAGAAACGGCGACGTGTCCCAACATAATCACGATGTTCGTCGAGATCAAACCGCATTCGCTGCTACTCTTCTCCGCTGTGAACAGCCTGTTCGAAACCGCCGCTACCAAAGCCCTCACGACGTCCGGGTCCAAAGTGTGCGCCGACTCCAAGGCGTAGCACAAATTCTCGATGGCCGCATCACGGAGCTTCTCGAAACCAGCCTGAGCCGGCGTAAGCGTCTTCACCTCCTCCGTCTTCAGCACGTTCCCTTGAACTGCAATCACAACAACAGCAATGCAATAGAAGAAATCTCGTAAACAGTTAAATACAACACTCACTGCAAATCTTCAAATTATCTTTGTTCCCTTTGGCATCGTTGTCCGCCGCTTGTCGATGCAGCTTATTCAAAATCGGCGATGGAGTTATAAGGAAATCACGTAAACAGTAAATTGAAGTTGAGGCGATGTTTGGGAATTTCTGCGCCAACTTTCCGAGTCCTTCCAAACACACCATCAGCAGCGGCATGTGCGCCATCACCAGCTTGTGTCCATGATTCGAATTGATCTTCTCCGTCAGCCGTCCGCAAAGACTGTCAGCCCCTATATACATAATCAACATTAATTAAACAACTATAATTGTATCATGTAAACGTAATTAGTTGGGATTTCAGAAAAATATATGTAATACAAAAAAAAACATCTTTTTGTTATTTGGATTTGAACTTTCGAGTTGTTTCAGACAAGTTTCACAAAGGGATCAAGAAAGCGAAAACGCACACCGACACACCACATAACTTGGGAAAAAAATCCAAAAAACACAATCAAATAAATCGAGCTCACGATCGTCTTTCTACCTAAGATAATTGTTAACGCGTGCGAAAGAGCTGCAATGCTATACTCTTCGTCAACTGGAAAATCAGATTGGAATTACAAATTTGCTTATCCGTCTTCTCGAATCGAAAAAAATAATAAAAATACATGTGTATTTGGTCGAAAAATATACCTGTTTCGTCGCCAATCGCCCAGACGAGAAGATCAACGCACGCGGCATTCGCCATCACGTTCACTTTGAACTTGTTGACTAACGCGAAGTTGCTCTCACGATCCTCCCTCTCGCTTGCGTCGTGATTGCGGCTCTGCAACTCCGTCTGCCCGTTCAAAAATAGTCCTGCAACGTGAGTAGTAGTAATTTCATTGTGATGCATTTACAACAATAAACAGATAAACAAACCTTTGACAAATTCCTGCACCTCCTTGGTGAAGAGAACTGGTAGATCCTTCTGCGGCTGCAACAGTTCCCTCAGTAGAGTCACCATGACCAAATTGATGGTTTCCGAAAAAGTTTTATAAGGGAAAATCAGTATTTTGCCGGAGGTGTACATCTCAAGACTTTGCTCGTCAAGGAACGTCAGCATTTCTTTGGTCAACAACTTCTTGGCCAGCGATAGAATGTTCTGAAGATGATCCAAACTGAATAAGAGACGTGTGCTCTTCTCGTGGGATTCGCAGAGGAATTTCATGTTGGGAAACTGATTGAAGCTGGAGCCGAACTTGGAGAAGAAGTAAGTGGTTGCGTCGTAGTTGACGGAAGCTGCAGCAGCGTGTTGGATTCCTGCTTTCATCTTGTTAAAGTCAACGGTATCGGTGTTCTGAAATATGCACAATATTAGCAAATTGTAATTGTATAAGCAATTAGATAATTACGGGAATTAAGGGTAAAACGTCCAACGCTGGCGTCAGATTTCCGGACAGGCTTCTCGGAATTATCGAGCGGAAACTGCTGAAACTCCTCTCGTACACCGGTTTGTCGTCCTTCTTCGGCACGTTCCGCCCACCCATCGGCGGCTCCGGCTTCGGGTACAGTCGTACGATTAGAGGCGGATCCACCGGACAGAACCGCCCGATAGCCCTCGCCAAACCAATCAGGACGGGCACCGTGCTTCTGCACAGATACAGCTTCGTCGAGCTGGAATGGCTGCTCTGTCCCTTCAATTCGATGACCTGTTCGGTGAGCATTCGCAGGCACTCCACCTGCACGGCGATGATGTCCTCCAGATCGTCGTCGCTCCTCGAACACACATCGCTCAACAACGTGTGCAGACAGAAGCTGAACTTCTCCGCGACGGGTATACGATCAGTCGCGTGCAAACGCACCTCGTCCAGCCACACCACCTTCCCCAAAGCTTTGGCCACGTCCAGCAGGTACGGCAAAATCTTGTCCTTGTGCTGCATCCCCGACTCCAGCAGGTAAATGCCGAGAGCGATGATCGCATCCTGATCGCGGTTGTTGATCCTGTACACACCGTTTCCCGTATCCTTCGGACAAAGCGAGAACAGTTTGTCCAGCTGCAAACAGCAAACATTAATACATTACAAATAGAACAAAAACAAATGTAGGCAACCATATAATCGCAATAATCAAAATAAACGATAACAAAATAAAAACGACAACCAATCAAAAACTAGTAACTGACAGTTTTGCCAAATAACCGTGATATTGCCTTCATTCGATTAACGATTATACAACAAAAAGAAAACATTGAAACTGGTTTTGCATAATTACAATTGCCTTGGACTTTGCACTAATCCAATTCAATTCAATTTCAAATATATAATATATAGATGTTTTAAGTTTTTGTTACCTTTTCCCATGGTGCCGAAGGGATTTTGGCCAGAGATCTTGCCAAATGCTGGACGGCCTTGTGGAAGAACAACTTGTCACTGCAAACCATGGCTTCCTTCTTTTCAAATAATATCGACGCCTTTAAATCATTACTATTTGCGTCGTCGTCTTCGTTGTCCTCATCTGCATAATAAACTGCAAGAATAAAAAGCACACACACAGTGCAGATGAAAACACTCCTGTTTTGACAACAACACTCCAACAATGCCACTGACAGCTCGTTACTGCGTTTGACAGCGACCGGAGACGCTGCGAGACGCGCTTGCGTACATCCACCCTGCGGGAGGCGAAATCAAAAAAATTTAAAAATATTCGAAACGTTTATAAATTGCAAAAATTATTATCAAAAAATCACAACTCACTTCACGAATTCCATTCCAAGATTTCTTTTCTCCTCTACAAAGTCATCAGCAAAGCGACGCACGTGAAACTTTTCTGAATATAACATCAATTGCCATGGCGACCAAACAAATTATTTTTCGACGAATCTTATTGGTTGCTTGCAATGGAGTAAAGCGCATGCGCTCTTCCACTCTACGCAAGTAGTAACAATAATTATTTAAATAACTTACGCAATGAATGCCATTAATCAATTTCCTTCTCTTTCTTTCTTGTCCACAAGGTTAACAAATCCAAAAACACGTTAACTTTCCATCGTAGATTAACTCGTCCAAAGCAGCATTTCTTTAACGTCACAACAAAGTTTCAATTTCCATGGTGATCCAACGACCTCGTTTGTTTTTTCATGGGTGTCCTAATAATAATAAAAACAGTTGAAAAAGGAAGGTGAGGAATTGTGAGAGATGAGAAATAAATAATTATAAGAAGAAAAAAAAAACCAGTTGAAAGATATTTGTCAAAATATTTTTGTTTTTACATATTATTACATCAAAGATCTCTTTTGTTGCGTGTACGTGTATACATATATATATTCTTCATTTGAATGTTTAGATTTGAAATCAGATGCATTGCATATTAAGAAAAATCTGCTCAAAATACTTGTTGTCTCTCTCTATTATACATCTAAAACTAAACAATTCTCATCTTTTTTTTCTCATAAATACATTTAAAAAATAGTAATAACCACTGCCATTCGAGCTCTAATAAGAGCGAAAAGAAAACTAAATTAAAGTAATAATGAACAAATGTGTGTGTATATAAAAAAAAAATAATCGAACTTTCTAAGTTTTTTTAAATACAACATACTGACTGAAGACGCATGCTAGATTTTCCTATTTTCATTTACGACTTTTACAAAGCGCTCTTTTTTTTCTTTTGTTTCTTATAACTATTTTCTTCTTTTTTTCTTCCTTAAAAACAACATGAAACGTGCGTTATAATATATATTTTTAAATAAGTTATTCGAATGAAAGTTTCAGCTTTCATCTTAAAAAGTGTTTGTTTTTTGTTTGTTTCGTTTTGATGAACGTGTTTATGTATGTAACATATGTATATATATTAAAAAAAAATATAAAGAGGAAAACAAATGTAGAAATGCGTAACTATAGTGACAAAGTATAAAAGGTTTCCAATGAGTGAGGAGAGGAGAGCAGCCGAATGATCGCGTCCGCAACCGAGCTTCTCCGATCTGCGCGCCGCCCACTTCTGTTACTCCTTCGAATTAGGCGCCGCCCACATTATCAAGAGGGAAGTTCAATTCCGGCTGAGATTTTCCCCGCTTCTTTCTTTTTTTTTTTACAATTATTATTTTTCCATTTTCGCCCGCAACAACAAAGAAAATAAATAATAGAGGTTCTCACAACTAAACCGAGACAATACCTATATATTATATTATTTATATGTAATAACTTTTCTCAATAAAAATATATTAAAAGTAGTAAAAAAAAAAAATATGTATGTATGTTGTTTAAACGTGTAGTCGTTTGTTGTGTTTTGTTTTTCTTGCTGATTTGGCGACGTCGATGTTTTCCTCTTCTCCTACTTTACATGAGTCTGCATTTTTCCTCGCCGGTCGGGTCGCCCTGCTGATGATGAAGATCCTCTCCACCCAAATACGAGAACTCTCGATGTCTGGACATCGAGTTGGAGTGCTGCATGCGGACGCGCTCCGAGGTGGCCACCTCCTCGCCGCTATTGTTGATGATGCAGGTTACCATGTTGTCTGCGACGAGCCACTTCTGGCCCTTCATGACGATGTTGGTGGGCGGCTCGTGCTCCTTACCGGAATCGGACGACCAAACGGTGACGGTGCCGTTCGGTTCGATCTTTACAGACCGATGGAACTTGAAGGAGATTTCAGCGTCGCCGCATCTGCGGAGGACGTTCCATCCGCCCAACGCCACCTCCTTGTCGCTCTTGTTGTGCAGCTTGATAAAGATGCCGTCCGGGCAGACCTCGGCCACTTCCATGTCGCCCTTTGAAGAGCTCGTCACGCTGTAGTCGTTCAGTGCGGATTCGCTGCTCTCGTCGAGCAATGTCCTCTTCCGTTTGTTACCGCCGCTGAAACGTACGGGGGTCCTGCGAGTCGAACTTCCACGGATGCTTCTGCTCGCGGTCGAACTGTCCGCTGCAATAAAACAACAATTCAAGTTTTAATCATAGTTTCATAGGTGAAACTTTCTACGAATCACGAAAATAGAAATTACCTGATGTATTGGCCGTAGGCTGACTGATGTTAAGACGAGCCTCTTCGGACTCGAGCAGCTTCCTGTATGCGGCGATCTCGAGGTCCAGAGACACCTTGATATCCATGAGCTCGCGATACTCCTGCATCTGCTGCGCCATATCTTCGCGCATCCTCGCTAGATCTCCTTCGAGCAAGGCGCGATCCTCGGCATGGCACATCCTCTCGTGCTCGAGCAACTTCTCCAGGTCGCGAATTCTGCCCGCGGCGCTCGCATTCAGACTCTCCAACTCGGTGATTTTACCGGTCAGACTGTCGATGCGAAGCCTGTTGGTGCGGAGCTCGTCCAAGGCGGCCGAAGCGGCGCCAGAGTTCCTGTTCGCCGCCATCTGAAGATTCTTTATCTTCGACTCGTACAGCAGCTCGATCTCCTGCCTGTTGTTGGCCATCTGCGATTCGTATTGATCGCGCAATCCCTGCAGGGCCTCCTGCATTTTCGCCTCATATTGCTCGGCCAGGCGACCGTCGATCTCGGTGATCTCCACCTGACGTCTGGTCCTGGTCTCAGTCAGCTGTTGCTGGAAGATCTGCAAAACGATACAAAAAGAGATATTTAAAAACAAAATAATTTTAACTCAGGAGGAGTAAAAGAAATTAAATCGAAGTTTCTTTTAGGCGTGACGCGGCGGACGCGTAGCTAAAAATAGACACGTTTCGGAATGATGTCATGTGTGTGTGTGACGTAATTTTGTATGTTGCCGCAACCCGGGGAGAACGAGATTAGTTAATCAAACTTGATGTAATTTCTCGGAGATACACGTTACGAAAATAAACAATCGAGAACGAAACAACATATTTAGCCTTGGGGGATGGATGATGGTGACGATGATCATCTCCAAATCGGTCACACACACACACACATGTGTTCTCTCTCTTCTGCTGCTGCATTCCTAATTAATTTATTCCTAAATAATATTTTACTACTTCACAAAAACAACTCGCATTACGTCACCAATTGTACGGTGTGAAATGCGCGAGTTTATGAAAATGTATGCCATGAATCACCCTGTATGTATACAGGGTGATTCATCTGGTCTGGCCATAACAATATGGATTTGTAAACATTGCATTGAACTTGGGTGCGTCCGTCGTCGTAAGTAAGTACGTGCATGATATTAGCCTCGAATGTTACCATACTTCATCGCTCTTTCTCTCTCGCTCTTTCTACTTCGCCGCTTCGATCAGTTCAAGAACGTTGTTACCATCGCGACGCTTTTCGCGTGCAAAGCCGACCAAGATTCTCTACGCGGTTATGTCACCGCTATTTTTAACCCTCCTCCTCATTCCTCCACCTCACCGCCAACCAAGTATACAGGAATAACGCGAATATCTATATTTTTACACAAAAATCGTTATTATTTTTTTTATTATTATAGCGATTCGATCATCGTCGCGCGATTTACAAATCCAACCTCCCTCCCAGCAACTAGGTTAAGGTCAAAGAGCGAGACGGAGAAAAACAAACGAATTAACCGTGGCACCCACGCGATATCGAACGAACAAAATAAAACAAAAGCGGAAAAATCGATGGGCGAATGTTTACCTGGCCGCAAATTACGTCACCGACGCGTAGGCTTTTTTTTTTAACCATGAGACCGGAAACGAAGCGTGGAAGTGGTACAGTTTCCAGCATTATTTCGTTAGAATTTTTTTATTAATTAAAATATAAGCGAATATTTCGTCGTCCTCGAATACGCTATTAAAACATGTTCCGAGCGAAGGTTTTTTTTTAAACTTTCTTGCATTTCTGAGTATCAAAAAATTGCGCAAACTATATAAAAGTGATGCATGCATTCATTATCAAACGCGTTTATCGTTATATCCTTTCCTACAGATTTCTTATCAAAACGCAAAATATTTACTCAAGGTATATATTTACATGTACGAAATGCAATTCGCGTTAAAATTGAGCAATTACGAACATGCTAAATGTGCAGTTCAAACAAAACTCTGCGAAGATAATCTAACAGAGAGGAATTTACCATTGAGAGTAATTTTTAGTATTAGTGCGCGAGAGAGAATAAACGCATTGACACACTTACCGATAAGATTAGTAAAGACCGAAAACGATATTGATGATTGATCTATAATCTTTTTGATAAAATTACTTAATTTTTATGACAGAAAAGAAAACTTTTGTCTCTCAATTGCAATTTCTAAAATAAATGAATGTAACTTCTTAAGAAATTATGAGTCGATAGTAAATATTGTGAATTGATCATTTGATAATTGTTTGGATTGCAAATTATTCGAACGTATCAAGATTGACAAATATATGTGTATTCCAATTGGATTACATTTAAAGTTAATATTTCCAATTGGTGTTTACTATTTAGTATTTAGTTTTGTTGTTACCTGATCTTTGAAGGATAATTCCTCCCTGAGACTCTGATTATTGTTTTCAACATCGACTCTGGCCAGAGATTCCTCCTCGAGCTGCTTCCGGAGTTCATCTACGAGCTTCTTCAGTTTGTCCCTTTCCTTCTCCAATTCCTTGGCATCGGTGATGGCCTTCTTCGCATCGCCCTGCGCCTGGTTGTACTTGTGTGTGAGGTCATTGGTGCGAGTCTCCAGGATGCGTACGGAATTCTCCGCGATCAGCAGATCCTTGGACTTCTTCGTCAGTCCAGCTTTCAACTCCTCGTTCTCGTCCCAGACTCTCTTCAGGTCGATCTCCAGCTTCGCCTTCTCCCTGTGGGTCTCGTCGAGCAGACGTCTCGCATCGCTCAGCTCATGATCGTACATCGACTTGATGTTCGAGACTTCGCGCGTCACCGTCTCCTGCGAGATCTGCACCTCCTTCGACAATCTGTTGTTCTCCGTCTCCAAATACCTGACGCGATCGATGTAACAGGCCAGACGGTCGTTCAAATTCTGCAGGTCGGCTTTCTCCTGGAGACGCGAGTGTCGCGTCGGACTCAGCGGGCTCGCAGGACGCTGGGGGATTCCCTGCGAAGCCGGCGTTCCACCGGACTTTTTGTTCTTCGCTGACATGATGCACGTTGTTGTTCACTTGTTCTATACTTTACTGCTTATGCGAAAAGACCGACGGCGGCGGCGTCCCTCTGTGTGTGTGTGTGTTTGTCCGTCCTGGGGCGGGGAGAGGGGGTTGGTTGCGGCGTCCACGTTCTTACTACTACAACTTTTACTTCTCTCTGCTTCTGCTGCTGCTACTACTGCTACTGCTGCTGCACTGTAGTACACGCCACTACTCACTCTGTACGAAACGAAGAGGGACCAGAAATAATAAGGTCGAGGCTTTCACTATTTATAGACAATGATACAACACAATTCACCAAACATCACCATTCGGCGTCTAACGGTTTTTATTGGTAGGTGCGGTCGCCGCCAGTCGACGCCTAACAATAATACCAACGCTGCAGAACTCTGCAACTCAATAACACCAGATGGCGCCTCGTTACCAGCACAACAATTCGCAATTAATCATAATCCAATTAACAAACTGCGATTATATCAATCAATTTTTACCATGAATGAAATAAATGTAGTATTTATTGTAGCTGCCGCATTTTAAAGAATCTTATTGGACTTCCCATAAAAAATGAAACATATGCAACCACATATACACTACATTGTTTTGTTTTCAACATCCACATGCCATCTTGTTAAACAATCAATTAAAGTTAATTAAAACTTATTGACATGACAAACACTTAACGACACTTAAATGTAGTATTTATTATAGCTGCCGCATTTTAAAGAATCTTATTGG